GACATATTCATACCACAGCAGGAGCCCAGAGAACTGGGCTCTGGACGCTGATGACCCTCCACCATCAATGCCTTAAGAAGTATCTTTATACCAGCTCACAGTCTGACTGCCTTCATCCCCAAGTCGAGGAATGGGTACACAGCGCATGTATATTTTCAGACAGGAGGTGACACCTCTCTTCTCCCAAGTTGCAGGACCACGAGCCTTTGTGAGCTCCCTTTACCTGGGGTCTCCTGTACTCCTGGGTCTGGGCTGACTCAGACATCAGATGCTCTGTGCCAAGCAGACACAGAGCTAAGTCATCACAGAACCAACAAAACAGGCCAGGGCATATCCTAGGCCCTCCTGGGAGTCTGGGCAAGGCGGGTGGGAGAGAGATGGGTGAGGTCTTGTCTGCTGGCTAACCTCATTTTGCCCAATTGTTTTGGAGGCGACTTCACTGGACACTGAGGGAGGGGTCAGCCCCCTCTGCTTCAACCCCAATTTACCTGCTCTTACCTGGTGCAGACACCTGCCTGCTCAGAGACTATCCTAAGCATGTTTCTAACTAGGAAGCTTTGGGGCCTCCCCCCTTACAAAAAGATCCCCCAAGGAGAAGGGGCAAAGGAGGGAAAGGCAGCATGCTCCAACCTGCAGTGTGGACCATCGTCGTCCTCCAGGTAAGTCTGTTCCTCTCAGCCCAGCCATTGGCTCCAGAGATCCTGATTCCTGCTGAAGTCTGGAGCAGAGAACAAAGGCAGACCCAACCTGGAGAGGAGTGTGGCTTGGGGGAGCCCTTCCATGCCTGCCTGCACCTTGCCTCCCCATAAGTGCCAGGGGTTGGATGTGTTCTGCCGTAGAAAACTGGCATGGTGAGCCCCTGGAATCTTACATCATTCTGGTCAGAATTCCAGCTCTTCCAGCATCCATCAGGCTGCCATGACCTTGAAGAATGGTCTGGAGAGATGAAGAGCTCTCAAAATGGCATCATACAGGGGAAAAAAAAATAAAAGTCAAATTAGAGCCAAAGGATCAGGGTTTGCTCAAGCATTTTGTAACTTGAGTACCAGAGGAAAACTTTGAATTTATTTGTGATGTATTTTACTCACATAAGAAAGGAGCAGAAGGCATTACATAAAGTTCATCATGAAAATGCATCTAGCTATTAAGTCATGTCTTTGCTTTTTATTTTGTGTATATCTTGCTTTGCTGCAAGAAATCTAAATTTTATGTAAAATTGGTAATGTTGTCTTTAGTTTGTCACTGAAAATATGAACAAACCTTTCACCTTTTAATTCTGATGCAATTACCTATACTTTTATGTCATAGTTTCTTGTTACTAAAATTAGCAGTATATTGTATATGCCAGTGGCTTTCCAATTTTAGTGTGCTAATTTGCAAAAGAGCAGGTTTAGTGGGACTAGAATAAAGCCCAGGTATCTGCATTTTAAAGAGAAACATTGATATATAAAATATATAAATAACATTAATGCTGAATTTGAGGAAACAATCTCTCCCCACTATGTTCTTTTTGGAATTGCAAATCATAATTCTAGAAAAGTGCCCACACTTACTGATGCCAACATAGTCAAACAAAAACTCTGAGTTCATGACAGGTCATAATGTTTAAAAAAGTTATTAAGTACTATCTATATTTCTAACATTAACAGGATCAACAAAATAAAAATCTTAGGACTTACCAAGGTAGTTTAATGAAGAATCCATAATATATATACAAATACATATATAGTACTTTAATATTTTTTAAAGTATTTTTCATATTTCTTATGGATATGGAGTAGTATAGATGAATGTCTGAGTTTGAGTCTAAGCTTTGTTTTCCTCTTTTATTCATACAAGTTAGATAAATTAGTAAGGTTAATTTCCCTGAAGCCCCTGATAAAACTTAACAAAAGACAAGGTAGGCAACTGAAATCATAATTATTCTTGTATTTGGGAGGGAGGTTTAATTCTGAGTTCATATAATAGTGTCTTTCTCACAAATTTGTCCTAACCCAGGCCCCAAGGGGACTCTTGTTTGAGTCCAGGGAAGAAAATGGAGTCTTTAAGAGGAAAAAATGGACAGGATTATTTTGTTAAGAATTCTTCCCCCTGGGCACATACTGGGCATTGAACCCAGGGTGCTTTACCACTCAGCTACATCCCCAGTCCTTTATTATTATTATTATTATTATTATTATTATTATTAGAGATCTTGCTAAGTTACTGAGAGTCTCACAAAGTTGGTGAGGTTGCTGTTGAACTTGCAATCCTCCTGTCTCAGCCTCCTGAGATGCTGGGATTAGAGGCATGCACCAACCTTGCTAAGCATTCTTTTAAAACATCAAGGTCTAAGCAGCATTTGGGATGGTATATATTGGGTAAGTGTAATATCCCAGCTGGAAGAGGGGAATTCTGCATATACTTATAGGAGTCAAAGTGCAGCTTTGGCTCACCAGGGACTGCAAAGCAATCACTAAGGTGGTGCACTTTAAGGACATTAGCAGCATGGGGGCTGGTGACAGGAGCAGGACCTACAAGAAGGAGCAGCTTTACCTGGTAAGTATGGCAGTGTCTGAGAGTACAGTAGGATAGGAACAGAATGTGCCACTCACCTGGAATATCACAGGAATTTGTGAGCATGAATGAAACCTCCTTTTAATACTATCCTGTGTTTGAAGAGAATCTATAGTAGTTGGGATCCTGTAGTGTAGGTGACGAAAGAAAAGAACACAGTTCACACAATCTTTATCTCATTTTGTCCCACAGCAGCACTGTAAGGCAGGTCGTATTCTTATTCATATGTGAAAATAAGACTCTTAGCTATTAGTAAATACCTGATTTATAATCCCGCCTAAGAGATTCAGAAGAAACATGAATCACTTTTCTTTAAGTTCTGACAAATATTTATTAAGGGTCACATTGTCTTTATAAGCTGATTAACAGGGTTTTGTTTTATTTTTTACAAAATTGCTTTGCATTTTTTCATTACATTGTTTCTTTTGCAACAGTAGAATTTTTTTCTGGGAAAATGGGAATTTCAGATAAAGCAAAAATTAAAAAGATAAAAATCACCTACTATACTGCTTAGATAGCCATTGTTAAGCCTTTTAAGTATATACTTTTAGTTTTTTCTTTGCATATTAATATATAAATATACGCGTTTTTTTTTTTTTTTACAAAAACGGGATACTATATATACCTTTTGAAAATTGCTTTTTTTCCACTTCACAATATATAATGTACATCTTTCCATGCAAATGGGTGGGAATCAGATTTTAGGAGGCAAAAGAGCCAATTTTATGCCAGTTACAAGCCAGACATGTAAAATAAACTGCATACAAAGATAAAATGAAGACGGGGAAAAAAAAGCCATAAGAGAACGCAAACAGAAAGTCCATGTGGCAATACTGTTATGAGACAAAACTGCACTAAAGGCCAAACACATTAAATAGGATAAGGACGGCTCCGTTTTGCCTTCCAGTGCATTATCATGAGTTTATTTCTTACTCTTTTCATCTCTTCCATTTCATCTGCTGCCTGTATCATCTCCTCATTACTTAAATTTCTGCCATGGATGTCCCCTCTAAACTGCGGGCGAGAACGGGCCAGCCTTTCTTTGAAACTTCCCTCTTCGAGCTTATGTTTGCCCACTCCACAAGGAGGCTGCTCCATGGGAGGGCGCTCCGCCAGCAGGTCCTTCCGGGAGAGGCGCTCCCGAGGAGGGCGCTCCTCACACAGCAGCATCTCAGGCAGGAGCTCAGGCAGGAGTTCCTCGGGAAAGAACTCCTCCTCAGAGGAGCAATCCTCAGAGGACTGCTCGTCCTCGGAACACTGGTTGTCAGGAAGCTGCTCCTCCGGAGACCGCTCCTCATCGACCTTTGGCGAGTTCTGTGGCTGTTCTTCGTTTTCTCTGCATGATTTTTCCATGTTGAGATTTTTCTTCTTCAAGCACAGTTATTCTTAAGAGACAAGAAAAGGCAGTCGAGTCACAATACTTGGCAGCTGGACCAACACCCTGGCCATGGGTACTAATAGCTGCTTTGCCCTGATTCGTGGCCCAAGTCCTTAAACCTGCGTTTACTTAGAGGCTCTCGGGCTCTCGTCACCAAGTCGCTTTCTTGGTTGCCCCCTCCTTCCCGGAAAGCCCACCATTTTCCCAGCAGGCCTTGCCACAGGCTTCTCCCACTGTGACAGGGGTGGGGCAGTGGGGGCCCTGCAGACTCCGTTCCTTTCGGCATCCTCCCTTGCACCCCTATCCTGGGTCGCTGCCCACCCCTTCCCCCACCTGGACCTCTCACATCCGTGCACCCCTAAGTCGTCCCCTCCTCAAGGTGCCCCGCTGAGACTGCAGACAGACGCCGGACAGGGTAGGGGGCGGGGAGAGAGGAGGGCGAATTGACTGACGCACACCCCCAGTTTCAGCTGCCGGCCCCATGCCAACCCCCTTGGGGTTCGCTTCCCTACTCAGACCCTACATCAAGCTTTGTCCTCTATGTCCCCACTTCTCCACCCAGCAAAGCTGGTCATTTCTTTTCAGGCGGGAAGTGGAAGCGAGGGTTACTTAGAAATTGTTTCCAAGTGTTTTCACCTCCCTCCCGGGAGGAGGGCTTCACCCACCTCTTCGCCGAAACCCCAAGACCACCATTTTCTTTAACAAAATTGTGGGCGCGGGGTGGAGGGCGGGGCTGGAGCCTACCGAAAGGCCTGGACTCAGCCATCCGGATCTGTTCCCAGGGATTACAAGGCAGCACCAACACTCACACCGATTTCAGAGGATCGAGGGAACTTACTTCCTTCTGCTTTCCCTCTCGACCAAAGGGTAATAGGGAGATGGTGTCTGGACAGGCAAAAAGGACCAGGACGAGAGGGACTTGGGCAGACATAGGCTCCTGGTCACGTGAGGGCCGCGCGTCACTGCCGAGCTCAGATCCCCAGTTACCACTTTGACCGGCGACTGTTCGCAGCAACCTGCCGGAATCTCCTGACCCCAGACACACCAGGCATTGTCACTCACCTTTCTTTGTTTATATTTGTCTGTTCCCTGGTTACCAGAGACGATTAGCATCAGGTCTCGGTGGTTATTGTCTCTTCCTGCCTGCTGCTTACCTCTCTCCCACCACCGTCCCTTCCTCAGCCACTAAAGCCTCTGATTTCCCCTTCTCTTCAGATCCTGCAATGCAATTTGACTTTCACGAATCACCGCAACACTCTCAAGTTTAATCCACATCTATAACGGTGTCATGTCCATTTAGGCTCCATCAGCATGTTTTCATTTCTTCTCACTTTCATGGAAGGCAAACTTTCATATTTCTTTGGCATCACTATTGTGTGTGTGTGTGTTTTGAGGCCCCAGACCTATATCACAAAGAAAAGCTCCAATATAAATTGATAATCATTCAGTTCTACACTTCTAGAAAGAGTTGTTTGTAAAGTATGCAAATCTAAAAAGATTCAGTACTTGGTTTTCATAAATCAAAATATACATTTGTCCACCTAAGTACAAATAATCCAGAAAATCTATTTATTAATTATTTGAAATGGGAGAGTTCTTGATGGATAGCATGGCATTTTTCTCTTCCCCCTCTCTCTATATACACACATATATACATACACACATGCAGATCTATCTATCTAGATACATGTATGTACACATAGGCACAATAAATAGTTTATATGTATATCTAAATTATTACTATTCATAACAGAAAAAAATAGATTTTACTGGGACTCTTAAATCCTTAGTCAGCCAGTTATTGGTGCTTCTAGTTGAGAAAGTTTATATTAATTCATTAAATCAACAAATACTTTGATTCCTGGAATTGCTGGACCCCAAAATTTAGATGCAACAGAGAAGACAGTCAATAATAAACCATGCTAGGGCTGGGGTTGTGGCTCAGTGGCAGAGCACTTGCCTAGCATGTTTGAGGCACTGGGTTCAATTCTCAACACTGCATATAAATAAATAAAATGAAAAGGTCCATTGATAGCTGAGGCAGGAGAATCATGAATTTAAAGCTAGGCTCTGCAATTTAGCAAGGCCCTAAGCAGCACAGTGATACCCTGGCTCAAAATGAAATATATATAAAAAAGGGCTAGGGACAAAAATTGGAAATGATAATAGTTTGCCTTTATATCTTTTCCATAATTGTTTTAATTTTCTGTTTTTCTGTGATATGTGTCTTTAAAACAAAGTTTCACTCTACTTCTTTTTTAAAAAAAGTTTCAGTGCCACAGATTGAACCCAGGGGTACTTAACCACTGAACCACATCCCCAGCCCATTTTTTAATATTTTGTTTAGAGACAGGTCTCACTGTGTTGCTTAAGGCCTTGCTAAGATTCTGAGGCTGGCTTTGAACTTGTGATTATCCTGTTTCAGACTCCAGAGCCACTGGGATTACACGCATGTGCCACTGCATCCAGTTTGTCTTTATTCTTTTGCCAAGGATTGGCTTCTCAATAGTAGTACCTATCCCATTGGATTGGTAAGTAGAGTACATGAGTCAGTGAGTCAGTATATGTGCAGGATCTGGAATATTGCCTAGCACATAGAAAGTGCTGTATATAGATTAAGTATAATAATGGGAAGAGTAAATAATACTGTGAAAAAGCACTAACAATACTATTAATTATTATTCTTTTATTATAAATATTGTAGCCAAAGAAAAACCTCAATAAACCCTCTAGCTTCACTTGTTTCTAGTTGATTTTAAAAATGATTAATTTTTGGAGGTCATGAAGTTGAACAATATATTATTAGCCTCCTACTAGCTTTGCTGTAGATAACACCTCTGACATGTGGGTGATGATGATAATAGTTGCCTAGGTTACTCTTCAGGGACTTAAAGGTCACTTTTGCTGAAAGCACTGACTCTTCGCTTGGACCTGCAGGTGTCCAGTGGGTGACTAAAATAAGATGAAAAAGATTGGCATCTTTGCCTTCATATTGCATCTGTCTCCTTTGCTACCCTAACCTTTGAGTCAGATTTCTGCCTAATTCTGCACATAGACATATTAGTCCAGAACTGGCAGTGCAAATTGGTGCATCAAAACCCCCCAAATCTCCTTTTTCCTTGTCAAATAGAGGATCACAAGACAAAGATAACTGAAATGTTTTCAAGGCTCATGGGGCATTATGACCCTGGACTTACATACCAACCACCAGTTTTCATAATGTCCTATTTCAGACCACCTGAGTGATGCCACAAAAGACTCCAGTCATCAGTCCTCTCTCCACATAAGTCCTCCTTCCCTTCCCGCTGCCTAGTAGAAGGAGCTTGAAACCTAGACTGAGTTAAGGTTTGTGTTTTGTTTTGTTTTGTTTTAATAGTACTGTGGTTGAACCCAGGAGAGTTCTACCACTGAGCTACATCCCCAACCCTTTTCTTTTCTTTTTTTTTTTTTTTCATTTTGAGACAGGGTCTCTTTAACTTGCTGAGGCTGGCCTTGAATTTGTGATCCTCCTGCTTCCCAAGTAGCTGGGAATACATGTGTGCTCCACCATACCCAGCAAGATTTACTTGGGTTTGGTAACAATAGTAATAAAGCTTTTTTTTTAAGTACTGGAGACTGAACCCATGACTTCATGCATTCTAGGCATGCAATATACCACTGAGCTATATCCCCAGCCCTAGAGCTATTTTCCATATGCTACCTCATGTAATTCCTTTTTTTTTAAGTGGATACAATACCTTTATTTTATTTATTTTTATGTGGTGCTGAGGATCAAACCCAGTGCTAGGCAAGTGTTCTACCACTGAGCTACAACTCCAGCCCCTCAAGTAATTCTTAATATATATGCTCCTACCAAGACATTTTTCTCCAGTTACTTAGGCTATTTCAGATATGACAATTTTCAAGCTCACTCACCATTCTACATGTTCCTGAACCTGTAAATGTCTTGGAAAATACCACATATTCTGCCTAAACTGGGCATGGTGGCGCATCATAGGACTATCCTAGCGACTTGGAAGGCTGAGGCAGGAGGATTGCAAGTTCAAAGCCAGCCTCAGCAACTTAGCGAGGCTCTAAGCAAAATAGCAAGACCCTATCTCGAAATAAAAAATAAAAAGGGGTGGGGATGTGGCTCAGTGGTTAAGCCATCCTGGGTTCAATCCCTGGTACCAAAACAACAAAACATATTCTGCCTAATGTAGAATTCAGTGATTTTTATCACCCATATCATTCTAGAATACGTACCATACATATACAGATGAATCCTAAATTTGTAGTAGATTTTGGGAATGCCATATCACAAAGTTGAATCTAGTTTAAGTTGCAGTCAGTTGATAACCCCTCAATGTGTTTCATGTATCCAGCTACTAATGCTTTTTTGTAAACCATTTTAATCTTAATCAAAGTACAGAAGCTTCTGTTTTTTGGGCTAAATATTATCTTGTTAGATTCACTACCTCATTGTTTGCATCCAGACTCTCATTCAGTATATTAGCTACAAAGTAGTAATTTAAGGTATACCATTAGTACTAAACAGAATAATAAAGTCAGCAAGCTCAGGAAATATCTAGGGAAAATCTCAACAGAATTCTGACTCCAAATTTAAAAAATCCTTTTTCATAATGTGTGTGGCAGCCCTGAATTTGTCCTTTCTGGCTTGTTCACCTCCTGTCATCTCAGTGAGACTTCTCAAGGTAGGATCACTTTTTTTCTGGTGCTCCTGATAGAAGACAAAATTGTCCATGAAAACCTTCAAACCATCTTAAATTACCCTTTGATGATAATTTGGTAAATATGGGGATGAGGTATATAAGAAAATTGTGAGGAAGTAGAAGGAAGAAAAGAGGAATGAAGGTAGACTCTCCATATAGGCTCTAAGTCTCTGCCCAGCAGTAGCTGATTTGAGGTCCCCTTGAGAGAAAGGGCTCTCAAAAAAGGAATAAGGTGAAGGTGGTTCTGCTGAAGTGACAATCGTTTGTAACAAAGGAAAGCTCCACCACTTGTTTGTGTAGAGTTTGGGTGCAAGCAGAGGGCTGAAAAACAATCCTTCTGATGAATTTGATTTGATACTGATGACTTGGGGTACTAGGAGGGTATATTGCTTGGTTTACTATCATTAGCAAAGGTTTAAGCCTAAGGAACCCATTTAAAATGTAAGAGAGAATCACAGCCTTTGGGACAGGAGTCCCCTCTGTTTCTCCTTTGCTAACAAAGCAATAAAACTTCTATTTCTTTTTCTCAAAAACAAACAAACAAACAAAAAACAACAGTAAACTCTGGGAGGTTACAAATTGTTCCCATGGAAATGTAGTAGCAGAGATGGGATTTAAAACCCAAGGCAGGTTGCCTGGCCTGGTGGCACATACCTGTAATCCCAGCAAATCCACAAGCTGAGCTAGGTGAATCACAATTTCAAGCCCAGTCTGGACAATTTAGCAAGACCCCGTCTCAAAATAAAATTTAAAAGGGGCTGGGGATTTAGTTCAGTGAGTGAATACCCATGGATTCAATCCCCAGTACCAATAGAAAAGAAATGAATAAATAAATAAAACCTAGGCAGGAATAGGGAAGTACTGAGTAATAAAATCTTCCAAATTATGCTATGTGTATGTACAAATATACTACAATGAACTCCACATTAATGCAGCAATTAGAATAATAATAATAGAAGGGAAATCAATAGAGTAGAGCAAGCGGATCAGGAGGAGGAAGAGAGAAAGAAAAGGGAAGGTACTGGGGAATGAGAATGATTAAATTCTGTTATGTACATGTATGAATATGGCATAATGGATCCCACTTTTGTTAAGTATAGTGCACCAATGATTTTTAAAAAAACGACCTGGGCAGGAGCCAATGCAATGGTACATTCCTGTAATTCCAGGAAGACTGAAAAGTTTGACTTCAGCCTGCACAACTTATTGAGACCCTGTCTCAAAACAAAATTTTCAAAAGGACTGGGGGCGTAGCTC